TTAATGCGCCACCAATGGTAATCCAACCCAAAAGCTCCTTTGACGATAGGGAATCCAAATCCAGAGCAAGATCAATCGTTTGAGGCTACCATTGAGATGCAAGAGACAAGTCTAGAAGTCGTTGACATCGAGATTCAAGCAGATCAGCTACAAGATATTCATAGCAAAACGACATTACAACATCAAGACGAGGAGTATGAGGAAATCTCGCCTATGGAAGGTATACTTTTGGGTAATTTTTGTGAAGAGTATGAAGATTTCGATGAGGAGGAGGCGATAGAAGATGTTCTTGTTGATGAGCCAGCTTTGGGTGCGTCGGATTGTGAGCAATACATGGGGAAACCAGAAATCAATGGAAGAGATTAATGCATAAAAATTCTAGGGGATTCATCAATTGTTTCAGAATATGAACATATTGATTTCGTGGTTGGAGATGCAATTTTCGAAGAGGGAGCACGCATGGAAAATCAACGAGAATTGCAGAGCTATGTGGAAGGTTTCCAACATTATAATGTCTCTACAATTAGGGGTGGCAGATCGGTTTCCGGTTTGCGGTTATCCGACCGGTTTAACTGGTAACCGATCGGTTAACAGCTAACCGGAAACCGACGGTTAATGACTGCGGTCGGGTGTCGGTAGTGTCCGCGCTATTTTCGGCTAACCGTGTAACCGAGACTCGGTTACTCGGCTAACCAGAAATAACCGGCCAGCCACCCCCTTGACCAAACGACACCGTTCCCCCCACAAACGACCCCGTTCCCCTTCACCAAACGACCCTCTCTCCAAGACTCCAACCCTATCGGCCCATCCTCCTCCATTCCCAAATCAAACGACCCTCTCCTCCAACTCCCTGTTCCCTTCGATTCTTCGCCGACGCCAGCCGCCAACCACCATCCCCGCCTTCACCCGACGACCCCATCGCCATCCCCGCCTTCCTCCGTCGAGCGCGAGCCAGCAGACAAAGTAGAGAGGGAGGCGGTCACTTACCCAATATCCAGTTCTGCCGCTGTCTCCCCTCCTCGACCCAGCCACTCCGCTTGACCCCGCCGCTTTGGATATCCGCTCCGCTGCTCATCTGCTCCGTCGGTCACCCCCTTCCTCTTCTTTTCCTTGCAGCCATGCAGCCAGATCTCAGCCGCTGCTCATTTGCTCTGTCGGTCGATTGGAACGGAGAAGAAGGAGAAGGTGGGAGCGGTAGCAACCGGCGGTCGCTGCTCTGGAAAGGAAGAAGAAGAAGGGCGGTCGCTGCTCTGGAAAGTGGAAAGGAAGAAGAAGAATCGAGAAGTGAGAGGGCGGTCGCTGTTCTGGAAAGGAAGAAGAAGAATCAAGAAGTGAGGGGTGAGGGGTGAGTGGTGCATATTTTTTTGCTGCTTTTAATTTTTTTTTTAGAAAGGGTATTTTCCGGTTGGCCGGCAACCGAGCCTAAAACCAAAACCGCCCGGTCGGTTGGCCGGCTAACCGTGACCACTCTCACGGTCGGTGATCGGTAGTTATAGGGGGTGACTTGGTTTAACCGATAACAGGGTTTTCGGTTTTCGGTTAAACCGAAATTGACTGCCACCCCTATCTACAATTCATAGACGAATTGTCTTTAAGAATGAGGGAATGATACAATACTCGCTACCAAGACAATTTCGTTCGAAGGCCAAGAAGGGTGGAGCTGATGCAAGATCGAGATTCTATAAAGATTCATGGGCGAATCTTCTTCAAGAGAGAGGGAATGATGCGATATCGACCAGCACGATATCTAATTCCCGTGGTCCAAAATTGAAAATTCGGATTCGACGATTTAAGGATCAATTGGGAGCATTCTTGATGAAAAAAATCACGCTCACTATAATAATAGCTGCTGCCTACTTGAATAAGGATTACGAGCTCTACATTCATGGCGAGCTTTGCAACCATCCTAAATATAATTAAAGTAAGGGCTAATACCACTACAACACCCGAACTATCGCGAAAATGCCATTTATGTCCTATTGTTTTAAATATTCCATTCATGTCCTGAACTATGATACTTTGTGTCATTTGTATCCTGACTGTTTCATTGACCGTTAAAGATAACGGTTGACCAAACGGTGGTCAAAGCAAAGTTGACTATTGTTGACGTGGCAAAATTGTGGTTGCCACATAGATGCCACATCATTGACACCTCATATTTTTAATTTAAATTAAATAAAAAATATTTTTTTTGTAAATTTAACTTTATTATTAAGCCAAAAATTAAAAAAAAACTCTTGGTATTCTTCTTCTCTACCAATTCACCCTCTCTAATAAATCTCCCAAGCCAGAAAATCTGCCCACCAGTTGAGACCCGCTCCCGTGAATCCGACAGATGATTGCAACTGAAGCTTGTTGTCGTTCACATAGGGGAGGATGGATCTGGTCTGGTAGCAAAACAGATCAAATTTCAAAGATGAAAAAATAACCTAGGCACCAGATCGAATCCCCAGGCCTAGTGTTTTTACGGCGACGGAGAACCTTGAGGAAGATACAGCAGAGGTGGAGGAACCGGGAGAGGTAGTAGGCGTAGGCCCAGAAGAAGACGCGTGCCGATGGGGAAGCATAAGAGCCATTGGATGGCGTTGTAGTTCTTCGCGACGCCACAACCAGCGGGTCTCGGGAATCTCGACGGCGGAAGAAAGAGGGTGCCGCCGAAGATGTTGGCGGAGATCAGGGGCACGATGATCACCAATTACCTCACGAATCCCCTGTTCTCATTTTGCGGATTCGACTTCTTTTACAAAAAGAAACCCCCAATTTCCATCTTGAGGGGGCATTCGTTCTCTCCTAACTAGAAAAGAGGATTTGAATCTTTGCAACTGGGATTTAAATGGAGGGACTAGTGATTCTCTGTTCAATCATGGGTTAGGGATCTGGGAGGCCATATAATTGGGGAAGAAGGAGGGGAGTAGATCGACGGTGAGGGAGATAGGGTGGAGGAGGGAGTAGATCGACAGGGTATTGGGGTTGTTTAAGAGGATTGGGGGTTTGGTGGGTTACGTTTCTGTTAAAATGTAGAGATTTGTGTGGGTGGGATGAAGGGATTAGTGGGTTAGGTTTTTATTTTATTTTATATTTTAATTATTTCCTTTTTCTTATTTTATTAATATTAGATGGAAAAAATTAATATTAAAAATTCCACGTCAGATGCCACATCAGTGCTGACTAGATTTTCTGTTAAGAACTAACGGTCAACAAAAGTCAACACTAACGGAATCATAGTTCAGGACACAGATGGAATATTGGAAACAATAGGACATAAGTGGCATTTTCGCGATAGTTCGGGTGTTGTAGTGGTATTAGCCCTTAAAGTAATAAATGTGTTACTATTGCATTAGAGGTTTGCGAAATTGTGTTGTGGGTTATTTTAGTTTGGATCACCGTTATTAACTTAAAGGATCCAATATACATGGGCTTTATGCTTTCTAGGGTGATTTTACTAATTGGGCCTTTGTCGAGGGTTTCCGGAGAATCCAAGTCATGTGATAGATTCAGGGCGAGGTGGAATTGAGAATCTGTTCAACGCCGCCGTCCGCCGTGCGAACAAAGCATCATATCGAGGTGCAGGGATTGGAGTGGAAACTGGAGATGAAACGAATAAGGTGCATGACAGAGCCCCGATTGATGAGATAGATGGCGGAAGGCAAACTAATTATATTCTTTGGCTGCAAGGTTGGGGATTTTGACCGAAGAAGAGTTAAGGGATTTTGGCCCGAACTATGACCATATAATCAACTTTGGCACGTGGTTTCAGAAATTAACATCCTGGCTTCAACTATGCAGCATATAGACTCAATTGGCTCGACACATGGTTTGATCGTCAATTTGGATGGTCAACACGCCATGTCATTGCCACGTCAGCCTAAAAATCATTAAAAAAATTCAAATTATTTTCCTAATTTCTATTATTTATTATTTTCAAATTATTCAAAAAATAAAATTTAAAATATATAAAATAAAATTTATATTTTATTTTGGGGATATTTGGAAATGATAAATTTTATAAATTAACCAAAATTATCAAATTAAATTTTATAAATTTAAAAACATGATCTAAATTATATATTTTTTTTGTGTGATGTTAAAAATATCAAATAATTTGATAATTTTTGGTTAATTTATAAAATTTATCATTTTCAAATTACACAAAAAATAATAGTCTTCTTTTATTTAATGTTTTTTATAAATTATTTTTGGTTAATTTGATAATAAATAATAAAAATTAGAAAAATAATTTGAATTTTTTTAATGATTTTTAGGGTGACGAGGCAAAGACATGGCGTGTTGACTAACGGTCAATGGTGTCGACCATCCAAATTAACGGTCAAATTATGTGTCGGGCCTATTGAGTCCATATGTTACATAGTTGAGGCGATGATGTTAATTTCTGAAACAACGGACCGAAATTAATTATATGATCATAGTTCAAACCAATGTTGTCAGAACCGAACTGGAGCATGACCCGGTAATGCGAACGACTCGCACTTTAGTGGTCCAACCGGCATTAGACCGTTTAAAAATCGTCAGTGAACCGATATCTAATAAACGTTATCAGTATAAATAGTGGACATTTCTTAATTAGAGCTCGTATCTTTCTTTCGAAATTGTGAAATGGAAATAAGGATTCAATTTGAGAGCCCGACGTTTTTGGTTTATTTCAATTTTCTGCAATTTTTTAATTAAATTTAATGGCTTAATGGCAAAAACCGGACGAGCGGCTCGATCGGCTCAAGCGGTTAACCGCCTCGGCCGCTCGTCAACCGCGAAATAAAACCGAAGCGACTTTTAAACTGTTCCGAGCCGATTTTGTGACTGGGTGGCGATTTTACCGGTCAGCCCAACGGCTCGACTCAGCTTTCATAACACTGGTTCATGCTAAAATAAAATATTAACCCTTATTTTTTGTCAATCGAATAACACCCAAATACTCAAAACCAAATAATACCCCAAATACTCGATGCATAATATTCAATGCATTCTTTCGATTTGTCTTGTGGTGTCACCAAGATTATCGGATCCATCCATGCGTTATCTAATGTTGGCACATCATCGCATGTGGCACGCCCCTCGAGACGAGACACAATCCGATGACGTCCCTATGATTGTTCCCCCCTCCTCTCGTGTTTCATCGTCGTTGACAGATCTCGCAGGCAAGGCATTAGATAAATAGGTACAGACAGTCGTTTCCCTTTCAAATTCCCATTTCCCAATTCTCTGGACGACGAAGAAAGTTAACCCGCCATGGGCCAATTGGACTACTCCCGATCCACCTCCTCCTCTCCGCCCACCGCCAATGGCCGCCTGGCGGTGCTCACTGCTCATTTGTCTCCCGCTACCGCAGAGCAGCCACCTTCCCATTTCGGTACCGTCGAGCGATTCTCCGTCTTGTCTAATACTGACCTCCCAACCCACCTTAAGGGCACACTGAACATCGTCGACGAGAGGACGGGGAAGGCGTATAGAACATCCGTCTCGGAGCATGGCACCATCAACGCCTCCGATCTCAAGAAGGTGTTCCTCTTCACTTTCCCTCTTGGTTTGGCACGAATTTTAGGAATTCGAATATTGAATTCATTATTCATTCATTGCGGAGAATCCTCCTTACTCGATTGCCATCCATCAATTGGCCGTCGATCGGATAATCTTCAATTGATCGTCATTATGTTGATTGTTAAAGCTTTTGTTTTGATGGATGCCACTTCAATTACTGGGTGTCTTGTCTTTGATAATTTAGTGTTAGCTTCTGTGACATTTCAAATATCTGGGGAGCTCCCACTGCAGTTGATAAGTTTCTATGTTAGTTGGGTCTTTCTGATCTGCTGGGGATGAATGGTTCACTAGTCTAATTCCCGACTGTTGCGTAACAAATCTCTTTCAGATATCAGCGGGAAAGAATGACAAGGGAATTAAGTTGTATGACCCAGGCTACCTAAATACTGCTCCTGTGCGGTCTGCTATTTCTTATATTGATGGGGATGAAGGTATCCTTAGATACAGAGGCTACCCGATCGAGGAGTTGGCTGAAAAAAGCACATTTGTGGAAGTGGCTTACCTCATAAGTGAGTAATTTCTAGGTTGTACTTTTCCTTTGAGCTCTTGTTTCTTTTTCCTGAGATGTCCGCACATCACTCGTCCCTCACACTTTTGGGCGATCTTTGCAATCTTGCACCATGCCACTAATACCTTGATCTGTGCGGTGCTCCTTCCCGAATGAGCATTGCTACTCCTTATATCTCTGATTATATACATAGTCATAGCTAACTCCATGCTATCAGTGTTTGTAACGATGCTGCTGTCCGATCTCAAATACTATTTCTGTTTCTCTTCTTTTTTTTTTCTTTCCTCCTATGATATGGGAACGATATGTTATTTAAAGTGTGTAGATTACATTTAACCAGCCTGCTTTTAAGCTCTGTGCAACTATTGTATGAAAATATGCAATCACCAGAAGCTGGGAGCTTGAGTCGACGTTCACCTATACACTTTTTAAATTTTCTTTCGTAGGTCTTCGCTTTTCGGGCTCACATATGATAAACCTTCGCCCGCTTTTCGGGCTCACATATTCTCCAACTTGTTGTTGTTGTTGTTTATCAATTGAAAGTCAACCTGTTTCTGCAGTGTATGGGAACTTGCCATCTCAAAGTCAATTGGCAGACTGGGAATTTGCCATTTCACAACATTCAGCTGTGCCACAGGGTATTTTGGTGAGTATATCTCTGTGTTGCTTACACACCGCACACTTAAATTCACTTCTGTCTCAGGGACTTATAGGCACTGATATTTGTACTATCGTTTACAGTGTGCTTTTGAGGGTTGGGTAATTTCGGAGAACGAAGCTGGAACTTTTCATGATATCTAGATGGGGTTACAGATTTTAAATTTAGTTGTTTGGTGCCTTATGAATGTGACCTTCTTGTGACATTATGTGTGTTTAAAATCCCCATGGCGGAAGAAAAACTGCATATGCTAAAACTTCTACTCATGTGGATATTTAACATTTTTTAACCAACAGACCTTTTTTGTTTCTCAAGCATGAGTTCAGTAGTTTTTTCTACACATAACCTGAAGATTCTTACCATGAGAAGCTCCTTCTCATCATGATTTTGCTTGAAGTATCTGAAATTGCATTTCTTTTGAGTTCATAAAGCTGAAATATCCTGAGGAATAAAATGTTTTCTTATACTTGTTTTGCAGGATATTATACAGGCAATGCCTCATGATGCACATCCTATGGGAGTCCTCGTCAGTGCTATCAGTGCTCTCTCCATTTTCCATCCTGATGCTAACCCAGCTCTTAGGGTAAGTTTAGAAACATGAGATTTGGTTTTATGATCAGTTCATAGAAGCCGTGGTGATGGCTTTTACCATGGTGATCAGTGTGTATTTGAGGATTTCCAGCATTTTATGATTGCCATATAACAGGCAAATATTACACTTTTGACAGGGGCAAGATCTTTACAAGTCGAAGCAATTGAGAGACAAACAAATTGCTCGCATTCTTGGGAAGGTTGATTTTTGTCTCCTTGGCTTGTCCTTAATACTTCTTTAATTTTTTTAAGTGCTTTTACCAGTCAATTTGTTTGCATGTTCATATGTATTAGTGATTCATCTGATGTAGTTTTCATTTGTTTTGGGTGTTATGTCTCTAATATGTTATTTCTTCATGACTTGCTCTGCAGGTGCCAACTATTGCGGCAGCAGCATATCTGAGGTTGGCGGGCCGGCCTCCTGTTCTCCCTTCCAGCACCCTGTCTTATGCTGAGAACTTCCTCTATATGCTGGACTCATTGTACGACATCAGGAAAAGCCTTGATTTCCAATTTTTCTATTTGAACTAGTGTTGTTGATTTTAACAATCAAATCTCTCTTTTGACAAACTGGCAGGGGCAATAGGGCTTATAAGCCCAATCCTCGATTGGCTCGAGTGCTGGATATACTTTTCATTCTGCATGCAGAACATGAAATGAATTGCTCTACCTCTGCTGCGCGGCATCTAGCCTCAAGGTATACTTCTGAGAACGAATCTGAAATAGAGGTGCCTTTGGTCTTTGCTCTCACATATTTATGATTTTGCCAGTGGTGTTGATGTATACACTGCGCTTGCTGGAGCTGTTGGAGCATTATATGGTCCTCTGCATGGTGGGGCAAATGAGGTGAGCTGACTTATTCTCAACTCTCACCACGTGTAGGAGTGTTTCTCTGTTCCTTTTTATTCATTTTTCTTGGTTTAGCTTGCTTTCAGTTCAATTTTTTGTATCCCTCTCATAATTTCAACTGCTTTAAAGGTTGTTTCAATTATATGGATTAATGACAGGCTGTGCTAAAGATGCTGAGTGAGATTGGAACAGTTGAAAATATCCCAGATTTCATTGAGGGTGTGAAAAATAGGTGATTGTTTCTTTTGCTTCATGTGCTGCTAAATTTCTAAGTGACGACTCATGATGCCCTCTGTTGAGGTATAGGCTCTAAATACTGGGAGGCCCGTTCATAATGTTCCGTGCTCTGCCAAGTGTGCAGGAAGCGCAAGATGTCAGGTTTTGGTCATCGTGTATACAAAAACTATGATCCAAGAGCCAAGGTGATTAAGCAACTAGCGGACGAAGTGTTTTCCATTGTTGGGCGTGATCCTCTCATTGAGGTAATCTCTTCTTTCTATCTGTGCTTTACAAGTCCGAGGGAAAATACCAAAACAAACTACTGCTCTCTTTGCCATCATTTGTGCTGTTAAGGGCATTAGTATAAGGTTACATGCTGGATCTTAGCCAAAAGGCCGAGAAAGATATTATAAGGTTACATACGACGTGCACTTTTACGCTCGTAAAATAAACACCATTACTGAATACTGTCTTTGTTATACGCCTACACCTTGCTCTCCAAGTCTGCAGTGATGTGTATTATCTGGGTTTTGATGCATACAACTTTTGGCTTTCTCTAGGTGGCGGTGGCTTTGGAGAAGGCCGCACTCTCTGATGAGTACTTTGTTAAGAGAAAGCTGTATCCGAATGTTGATTTCTACTCGGGTTTGATATACAGGTGCTGATAAAAATAGAATCTTTTCTTATTACAGGTTGAACATGCTTGATTTCCTTGTGAGATTCGTCAAACAGCTGATAGCTAATAACATTGTCTTCTAACAGGGCTATGGGATTCCCTACTGAGTTCTTTCCTGTTCTATTTGCAATCCCTCGGATGGCTGGTTACTTAGCACACTGGCGAGAGTCTCTGGATGATCCAGACACAAAGATAATGAGACCACAACAGGCTAGTTCTTGAGAGTCACATGTCCTTATGGCCAACTGTGATTGCGCAGGAGTGTTTTATCAAATTAAAAATGTATATTGTTCCTTTCTGTTCTGATGCAGGTCTATGTCGGGGAATGGCTGCGACGCTATGCACCAGTAAATGAGCGAATTTCGTCTCCAGAAATAGACAGGCTAGGGCAGGTGTCTGTTTCTAATGCATCAAGGCGACGATTGGCTGGGTCTAGTCTGTAGTTCACTCAGACTATCATTGTCTGATACGGAAATGGTAAACACAGGGGAATGAATAATAACATGAAAGAGTCGTCGGCGATGAATAAAAAGGGGTTGCAGTCTCCAACAGTGTTTGGCCATCTTCATCTGCAGCCTGGAGTCATTTATGCATGGGCTTGGGAGTGTACTCTTCATTTCCAGAAGCAAAAGTAGCCTATATGAAATGCCCTCTCTATTTTCCTTTATCAACGCATCATACCAAACTAGATTAGGTCTCATAAAAGTGAAAAGTAAACAATTTTAAGTGTCCTGTATCAATAATATTGAGAAAGTTGAACAATTTTGTTGTCCATAATTGTCTCAGTAGTATACAGAGAAGAATGCGATTTTTTTAATTATGACTATAATTATTTGAACTTTCTGTTTAAGATACAATGAATATTACCATAATGATTTACATATTGAGAATGACGTATGGTCTATGGACATCCACCTCCACCTCAATATTGCTTAAGCTTAAGATTAAAAGTAAACTAAACTTTTTTTTTATATTTAAAGTCTATATTTTAAAAAATTTATATTTAATAATAGAGAGATGATTATCATTTATAACATTCAAGCACCTAAGAAATGAGAACCAAATATGCGCAAAATGAGTTGCATCACTAACTTACCGAAAAAACTCATTTTTTAGTCTTGTATATTAGATAATCCTCTATGACACCGTAGGCTAAAATTGTCCAAAACTATAACAAATGTGTAAAAACATTCCTTGAGGTTATCAGTCACGCGTTTGAGTACAACATATAAAGCAAATTCAAGTCAAAATAGTTAAAAATATACTAAAATGGTGTATAACTTGTCAGTACAAAATATCATTTTTTACGTGTCACTATATTACCCCACTTGGACTTAGTTTGTCCTTAAGCAAACAATCCCCAAGATCATGCAAATCCTCAGATATTCATGATGACACTTGACTGACTTTCGATTGTTGGTAGTGGATCAAAAATTCAAAACAAGGTAATAAACTAATAATGACATAAGAGAATTAGACTATATCATTGATGTACAAATCTCGTGAGGACAACATGACATGTCCACATCCATCGTAAACAATCAACTAAGCATGCATGAGAGTATAGAAAACATGTAAGATTAAAATTTTGGAAAAGTATGATTTTAATTTAGAACATCTTTACTTTTTTTTTTAAATGAGAGATTTTCTCTCTTATTTAGTACAAGTGGATTTTGTTTCTTACTATCGATGATCGAACAAGAATAATTTGTACTAAATATAATTAGAAATAAAATTATGGAATTAAGAAGTAAATATTTTCTATAACCAACTAACTTTTTAAGATGAAATGTAAAAGGAAGGTGTTAACAAACAAATTAAACAATGGTTTTTTAACATCCCGAATCTTTTTCCGACAAGATACTGTCCGTTTTGGGTCTCTACACCCGCACGGTTTTTGATTTGGGGTGCAATTCAGGGTGACTTCCCATAAGGTCACCCATTCTTGTTGTACTCCACACTAAGCACGTTTAATTTCAGAGTTCTCACAAGAACTCCTCCATTACACCCCAAAACGCGTCTTGTCAGTTAAGGTCGGTTTCTTACTTATGAACCATGGATCTCTACCGTGCTTTGTCGATGTGGGATTTGCCTAAGGTGTTACATACACCCCCCTTTGGACTCAACCCCCTCGTTGAGGTTTGCCCTGCCCCACCATCATTCAAGAGGGACGCGGAAATGCTCTGATACCACTTGTAACATCCCGAACCTTTTCTCGACAAGATACTGTCCGCTTTGGGCCTCTACACCCGCACGGTTTTCGACTTGGGGTGCAATTCAGGGTGACTTCCCATAAGGTCACTCATCCTTGTTGTACTCCACACTAAGCACGTTTAACTTTGGAGTTCTCACAAAAACTCCTCCATTACACCCCAAAACGCGTCTTGTCAGTTAAAGTCAGTTTCTTACTTATGAACCATGAATCTCTCCCATATTTTGTCGATGTGGGATTTGCCTAAGGTGTTACCGTTTTCATCTAGTTAGTAAAGGTTTTCCACCAAGACGTGGATCTTATATCATTTCGCCAATTATTCTAGTTGAAATAACCATACCAATGTAACAATTTTCTTATAAAATATTATTGGTCTTATAATTATCTCTTGATTCTCGTTGATAGTGATACATCACTCAATTAGTTGTAACAATAATATTTCATAATGATTTTTATTGAGTAACCATGGTTTATGCTAAGAAATTATTGATCTTATAGCATTCTCAATGATTCCCATTGATAAACCATACTATTGTAAATGTAATGCAATTTTTTTTATAACAAAAAAAAATTGATCTTAAAGGATTAATCATGGGATTTTTACTAAGACATTATTGTTCCTATAGCATTCCCATTGATTCTCGTTGAAACAATATTAAAATGTAATATAAGATAATTATTTCATTGAGAAATCTTACAGATAAACAATGATTTTCAACGACTCAAACAAAATAATTATCTTTACTAAGACATGAGTATTGTAGCATTCCACCAATGATTCTAATTGGTCAACCTCATTTGATTTTGATGTTCTACTTGCGTCTCATATGATGAATTCCCACTATCTGCCATAAGTTGTGCATGGTTATGTTATTCTAGAGCCTAGACATGTAAGGAAGAGTTGATTTAGGAGAGAGTGGAAGATATATGGAGTGTCTACAAGAAGGCAGACAAAAAACACGACTTGAGCACTTGAAAGCACGACCTGGTTTATCCCTCTCAGACCAATTTTTTCCAATACAGATCCACACATCAGTTCGGAGAATATGACCTCAAATGAAAAAAAAATAAAAGACAAGGTCGTGTTCCTATGTTTATCATGCCATGTTTTCTGGGAAGGCTGGGGATTTTGAAGAGGAGTGTCTTTTTGAGTGATAAAACTGTGATTTGAGAAGTTTTAAAGAGAGAAGTCTATCTTAGAGATCTTTTGGGGTGGATCTGCATCAAAGCCAAGAATCGGAGGCCCTAAATTGAAGCAAGGAACTGAAGATCATTAAGGAGAAGATGATGATTTGTAATATTTCTCTTATGAGGTGATTTTCTCCCCACGGTCTCTATGAATTAAGCTTCTTAAGTTGGTTAGATGTAGAGCTCCAATTAGATGATTTGCAAGAATTGGTGTTGATTGACTTGGTTATCTCTATCTATCTACGATTATGATGTTTGATTTCATTTAATTTATTTGGAACCAATGTATGTATTTCACGGTTATTGAGGTTGGAGGATCAATTCCCCAATTTGTAGGGTTTGATCACCATAGAGAGATTAGAAATGTAACATCCCGATCATTTTCTTGACTGATAATTTTTTCGTTGAGTCTACCCCAACACGATTTTGCTTTTGGAGGCATGTTATCAATAAATAACCAATATTTGCAATGCACCACACTGAGCACAAGAACTCCTCTATTTTACCATAACATGTGTCTTGTTAGTTCGGGTTAGATGTTTTTTGGCTAAATTACACGTTTGGTCACTCAAATTATACAAATCTTTCACGTTTGCCACCCGAATTACTTTTCTTTCTTATTCGCCACTAACTTTACGAATCGTTTCACGGTTGGTCACCGACCGTTACACTCCGTTAAGTCTGTCCTACGTGGCATTCAACTATAAAGTTTGACCGTTAACTAGATGACGTGGAAATTAAAAAAATAAAAAAAATAAAAATTTCTTTCCACCTCATCATTGCACTTATTTTGTCTATATAATTTATCATATTAATAATTTAATAAAATTTAATAAATTACAAACTTGTTCATTTGCGGCAACTTTTTGTCGGCGGATTCTATGGTACAGGCACGGCACTAGTGCCGGCAGTTTTGTAACCGTTGGATATATTGCATTTAAGGAGGGCCGTAGATGAATAACCATCATGTAACCAAAGCCGGTTGAACCTTTTGGTTAAACCTATTTAATGTTTAAGTTATTTATTATTATAATTGTGCCATCGATCTCCTGCTTTCACTGCACGCCTCCATATATATTCTGGACTTCCAATGATCCAGTTCTGGAAGAAAACGAATGCTTGTGAAATCGGCCAATAGAGAATGCTGGTTATAAACCTAATAAAGTATGTAAACTCATCCATCACTGCTGCAAACTTGAACAATTAAATTCAGACTAGAAATACTAGAAGAAACAATCAAGTGAGAAACATGTGGCTTGAACTGCTGCAACTCCAATAGAGGAGTTCGCATATGAGGACCCAGAAAAGAATGAAGGAGTGGAAGAGGAAGGGATCCGTAGCCTGCTTTAGTTTTTTTTTTTTTTTTTATTAATTTATTAGTTAAGCCACACCCACCCAAGAATCACAAACTGAACCGGTCTGAAAATTGTGACGGCACCACAGAATTGCCGCTTTTTGTCCTCTTTCTGCTCTTCTTCCAGAAAGAAGCTGGTCACCCCTCCTCTGCCTCCTTCCGCTTCTATTTCTTCTTCAACTTCGTCTTCTTCCTCTGCCTCGAAGAAACCCTCCATCCCCGCCCTCCTCCTCCTGCTCTTCTCCTGGTAATTCTCATTCCCAAAACCCACCACCATTAATTCGTCGGTCAATCTTTGGATTGGAACAATCAGTTGGGCTTCACTATTTTTATCGTACGCACGTGATGCTCTGTTTTCTTGTTTCTCTCCCGGTGGCTGAAACAAATCTTCAATTAGAAACCCCATGAAATGGACAGAAGAAATTAATTGAGAAGCTGGTTCCAACTCACTTGCAAGCAATTCACATGCCTGACATTTGCCAGCTCAACCAGCCGTGTTTCTTCGAATCGTTTCCCAGCCATGGATCCCAATCGCACGATCTCGAGCTTCGGCTACGATCATCAAGCGGTGCGACTGTCGCACTCGCGAGCGACGAATCGTCTCCCGGATCTTGAATCGTGACTCGACCAGAAAACATCCAGCAGTTGCCTGTAGTTAATCAGCCTGGGATCGTATTCCACCTGGACGCACTCAGCGTGATCGGCTAAGCTTCGGTACTCAGGATTGGGTTTAGATCCGCCGGAATATCCAACTGTGGTTCGCACGACGCTGTCCAAGCAGCCGAAGACGGCTTCAGATCTCCAGAAGCTACCGAGAGCGAAGACGGCCGATTTGAGAGGTTCACTCGGTGCGTCCCTCAAGTTTGTCATTTATTAAATTTTATTAAATTATTAATATGATAAATTATATAGACAAAATAAGTGCAATGATGAGGTGAAAAGAAGTTTTTATTTTTTTTATTTTTTTTAATTTCCACGTCATCTAGTTAACGGTCAAACTTTATAGTTGACTGCCACGTAGGACAGACTTAACGGAGTGTAACGGCCGGTGACCAACCGTGAAACGATTCGTAAAGTTAGTGGCGAATAAGAAAGAAAAGTAATTTGGGTGGCAAACGTGAAAGATTTGTATAATTTGAGTGACCAAACGTGTAATTTAGCCGATGTTTTTTTTATAAACCATGGATCTCTTTAGTACTTTGTCGATGTGAGATTTGGTTAAGGTATCACATACAACCCCCCCCCCTCCCCCCAACCCAACACGGACTCAACATTACCATGTGATGTATTGTAACATTTTAGACAAATCTCACATCTAGCTACAAACCAATGAGAGGGGAACGGATCAGGTGAGTAACTTATGGTGAGTAACCCGCCCACATCAGCATCCTCTCTCTCCTGGAAAGTCTTTAATTTTTCTCTTCTTAATCTTTGACGGACGATTTCTCACTCGTTTTAAGTCAAAATTTAATTTTTTTTTTGTACAGTTAGATCAGATTAATTGTGCTCTTCAAAATGATATCCACTTTGATATATTTTTCAAACAAAAAATTGAGACATTTTTTACCAATCTATACCATATGGTATTGACTGGTATTGAAATAAGAGCATACCTATGGTTTGAAAAGCGTACCATGGTGGTATGACACAAACCAAAACTGTAGGATGGTTGAATACATGATAGTAGAAGTATATTAATTGTCATTTACGACTTTTAACATTGTATACCATAAGATACCACCCCGTACCAGGGTGGTATTGTATGGTATTTTTTGGTATTTTTTGGTCTTGTAATTTGTTCACCCAGAAATTTGTAGATCCACTAGATCATGATGAACTCGTCCCTGCTGTGCAAACGTTTTCAAAAACGAATTAAAAACGAAGAAGATACCATATGGTATGCAGTTGGTACCGAGAGGCCAGAATTTTTTTCCCTCAAAAAATATTGAAAATTGATCTCATTTTGTAGAGCACGATGAACTCGTTCCATCTGTGCAAAAAAAATTAAAATCCGAGTTAAAACGAAAAAGATATGAGTCAATTAAAAAAGCTAGTGAAAATAAAAATGACCTTTAATTCTCCATCCTTAGATCTGGATTTTCTAAATGAAGGGTCCAGATTTGATTATTGATGGGTGCATAACCCATGGTTATGCACCCTAACTTGAGCCCAATGAGAGAGATTCATGGGGTATAAGGAACAATCCAAAGCTTAATTATAAAGACGCGTTCTGGGGTGAAATAAAAAAAATTCTTGTTAGAATTGTGAAGTTAAACGTGATCAGTATAGAGTACTGCAGAAATAAGTTATTTTTGCGAAGTCGTTATAATGCATGCCAAGACGATAACGGTACATAAATAAGTTCAAAGCGAAGAATATCCTGGTAAGAAAAAGGTTAAGAATATCACCGCCCCTCTTACTTCCTAATTCGATTATTAGGAGTTTCATGAAACTGTAATTTAGTCATAAAATAATGACAACTATAACTAATTAGTTGCACCCGTTTTTTTTTTAAAAAATAATTATTGCGCCCCACGTAGTGAAATAAAAAGCCTTGTGACGGATTCCACGGCGGACCAGAATCAGAGCCAACCCATCTGGAAATCGGTGTGGCGGGCGCCGACGCTGCAAAGAATTCGAGCTTTCCTTTGGCTCTTGAACCACAACCGGCTGCTGACGAATGCGGAGAGAGGAAGGAGGCACCTCACGACGACCATCGACTGTAAAATCTGTGGAGATGGCCCGGAAACGACGTTGCATGTCCTCCGGGATTGTCCATACGCGCGGGCGACCTGGGCGGATCTACTGGGAGAGGAGCCCGACTCCAGTTTCTTCGAGCAAGATATACACAGGTGGTCCTTGTACTACATCTCTGATAAGAGCGATACCATTGATAGCACTCTTTTTGCAGGGACTTGTTGGCTACTGTGGAAGAACCGGAATGGTTACGTGTTCCGAGGGGAGCTGAAAACCCATGCACAAATCCAGTTCCATGCAAAACAGCTCCGAGACCAAACCATCCAAGCACTGGAGAAGGAGAATGCGATTTTCGGAGGAGGGGGACTCCGGGAACAGCGCCAAATTGGCTGGCAACCACCGGCGCAGGACTGGGTCTGTGTCAATACAGATGGCTCAGTCACCATTTCTCCAGAGAGCACGAGCTGCGGCGGCATCATACGGGGGAGTGATGGCCGCTTTCTTAAGGCATTCACTGCGAACCTTGGCGGGGGTTCGATCACTCGCGCGGAGCTGGCTGGTATTGTGTATGGGTTGGATCTCGCCTGGGAACAGGGAGCCAGGAAGGTAATTCTACAGACTGACTCGTCCACTGCAAAGAACCTGATAGACAAGGCGACACCGAGGCACTCTCACTTCACACAGGTCGCGGAGATCCGACAGAGACTGAATCGTGATTGGACAGTTCGGATTGAGCATGTGTTCCGTGAAGCTAATTTCGCCGCGGATTATTTGGCTTCTTTGGGCCACTCCCGTTCGATTGGTGTTCATACTTTAGATAGACCGGATACTAAACTCCTGTACTGGCTGTTCTTTGATCGTGTGGGGGGTGTAACACCCCGCTTTGTTCGTTCTTAATAAAGGTTAGGGCGCCCTTAGCGCCCTGTTCTTACCAAAAAAAAAAAAAAAAAAGCCTTGCGCGTTGAACCCCAAAGTCAATTTAGCTGATTCCAACGAGCTAGGCTCGATCGACGAGGAAGGAAGTTGATGATGTTCTGCCAACATATCCAACAAGGCAACAATATTGCAAGCTCGTGGAACATTCAAACATAACGAAATGGAGAAAAAAAAAAAAACAAGTCGCTATCTGGTTTTTCTGTACAATGATTAGCACACCTGCACGCATTATTTCCAAACCTAATGCTTCTTTGTCTCTTTTTCAGCCTGCACCGTGCACAGATAAAACCAACCAAGTTGTGACTAAAGTCGTCAGAGTGTTTGTGGCCATGATATATAATAGACTGTGCGCATAATATATATATATATAGAGAGAGAGAGAGAGACGAAAAATACGTACAGCTTTGATGGCTCTGTCAAGGGCATCCCATCCGTATCTGTTGACATAGTCGACCACCGATTTCCTGGCGTCCAGGCTCATCATCTGAAGCACCTTCCTCTGCTCCTCCGAGTATTTGTTGCCGCCGTTGCTGAGGTCGATGATGCCCCCAATCTTCACGTACTTCCTCACCACGTTGTCGTAGATATAGGCGGCCCCGTTGAACGCCGGCAGCACCAGCCACATGCAGAACACCAGCTTCATGGAGGACCAGAAGGGCAGCCAGGCCAGCACTTTCCAGAAGGAGAGCTCGAACAAGGTGATGAAGGAGTAGATGATCCAGTACGTCAGCCACTGCTGGTCGTCCACCATCGACGGGCTCTCGATCGCTCTCAACGACGCGTACAGCGGGAACACCAGGATCAGCCCCGGCCTGCATTCTCATTCAAATTTGTTTTTTTTCTTCTTCTCAATTATATTAATTAATAACATTCGCGTAATTGAAAATTGATTGATATATGAGATAGTAAAAAAAATTCATGTAATTGCTTGCATTTGCATACCCGACGAATGCGTTCAAATTCTTGGCTATTGCTGCCAGGACTCCCATGGCTCTAGCTCTCCTTTTCAACCCAAAAGGTTGTGATTTTACGAGGTACGTACGGTAGGAAAATTCCAACTGATGATGAATGAAGAAGAATGTAGGAAAGGCTACCAAATCCTTTTATGTGCTAAGGTGCAACGGCCGTATGTATATATATATTTGCCGAGCCTTGGCCTTTCTTCCCGTTTGGGTCAAACGCGCGCATACAGATTCCAACAAGCCAAGTAAGGAATTCCTTCCTGATGCATGGGGTTTCCAAACACACAAAGGAAACGTCGTCACAAGGGGAAGGGAAGGGAAGGGAGTCAACAAGGGTTTTGCTTTGCCCCACTAACAAGAAAAGCATGAATTTATCATATTTGGATTTTGGTGGCTTTGTGTCCCATTCCCCTTGGTGGGTCACGTTCAACAAATAATTGTTGTTCAATCAATCCAAAGTTAAGGAAAACTAGATAAACTTTGTTTCAAGCCCTAATTGATTCCAATCGATTGTATCACCTTCGGTTCAATAGGTATTGGAATTTTTTTTTAATTTTTTTGTAGGAAAGAATCTACGGAATTTATTAAGTTTAACGGAACCTTCAAGTTTTTCGATATACTAATAGATAATATTGATGTTTTATTTAATAAAATACATTTGTATAGCAAAAGTTACTCATGTTACAACTATTGTTCCAACCTATTCAATATTTTATTTTTGTCCTGACCTATTGTTCCGTTAGTGTTGACATTCTTTGACCGATAGTTTTTAACAGAAAGTCTGTACAGCGCTAATGTGACATGTGATATGACATTTTAAATATTAATTTTTATCTATTTTTCCATCTAAAATTAATAAAATAAGAAAACGTAAAATAAAAATAATAAAAAACTCATCTCACTCACCCCTCATTCTCCCAACACAAAAAGTATTATCTTAAACTTAAAAAACAAACAAAATCCAATATCCTCTTAAAGAACCCCAAATCCCTCGTCGCTCTGTGAATCCCGCCTCCTCTACATCTTCGCCGCACTTCTCCTCTACCACTACAACCTCGCTTGTTGCACTTCTCCTACACTTCAATCCGTGCTCCGCCTCCGCTCTCACCGTCGTCGAGAATTTTCTCGATCCTGCTCCATTTGTCTCTCTTAGATCCATCTTTTTATTTCTGCGGCAAAATCGCAATCCTCCGTCGCCATCGAAATCCCTAATCTAATAACAATTGTAGCCGCATCAAAGGAAATGAATGAGCTAGCTAGATGCCTAAACAGGAGATGGAACCAATGAAATAGATTTTAGACCTGGTCCAAAACAAAAGAAAATTCTCCATCCCAAAATTTGTTCCTAATTTTCTTCTCCATGGAGGCAGAGCACTGCGATCAGGAGAGAGATTTGGGCTTCATCTGGGATTCAGACAAACAAAGGCGGTCAAGAGCATCTTCTTCTTGCTAGAAACCGAACAGAAAAATTAGGGTTACCGGTCTGGCTGAGTCGCGGACTAGAAAGCTCTCTTTAAGACGTTCGCGGCACTGCCTTCATTGTGCACGACAGACTATCAGCCGGTCGCCTCCAAGATAAAACAGCCACTCTAATTTTGTTGCTCATCGGTTTTGTGCGAAAATCGGAGCTCTATGAACTCACTCTCTTTCTCGTGTTTTTGCTCTCTGAGGTCTGTTTAGAGAATCTGGGGGGTCTGCTATTTATAGGAACAGAAAACCCAGAATATTCCCTCTTTCTTTGGGAATAAGTCACATTTTAATTAGGGAGATAATTACTCCATAATTAAAATATAATCTATTAAGATAATTATTCTTAATTATCTCCATAATATTCCTTTTATTAAATAACCATCTTATTTTCGTATTATGGGGAAAATACTGGATAATTAATTAGGAATTTCATTTATAGCTTTTCATAGCTATTCATCCCAACAATCCCCCACTTGAATAGTTTTGAAACTATCTCTGAGCATCAACAGTTCCATAAGATCGGGCATAAGCTAAGGTATCGCGAAGATTTGAACCTTAGCGTAGTGGTTACACTTCCGATTTCATAAGGGTGACTCGTAGTCTTGAACCCTATCTCAGAAAATGTAGCACACCGGATCTTTTCATTGAGTGATATTCTCTCATAGGTCGTGCGTTTATGGCCATGCACGTTATCCCGGTTTAGTGAACGCTCTAGCAACTTTGTGCCTCTAAAGTTCCATAGGGAGTGGCCCCACTCCCAAATTCACATAGGTGAGTCTATCAGAAGTACTCCCAAAGTAAAGTACTTCACTCCACATAGAGTATAGATCTCATTAAGAGTTTAAGTCAACCTCAAAGGCTTTGGGATTCATGCTTCACTATGCATGAACTTTTCTCAATATTACTCATGACTTGTTATTACCCATTGAACCCGTTTCTTGGGATCTCCAGTCTATCGGGTCGGGTTACCATCAGTTGTAATCCATGGTTCGGTAGGCATAAGTTTCATACCTTTCATGGTATTTTGGACTTTTCTATCTAGGTAATCCTTTCGTCAAAGGATCAGCTAGATTCTGTTAGGATCTTACATGATCCACCCTCATTGCTCTTATCGTTAGGAGTTCTCTTACAGCACTATGCTTACGATGAATTTGTCGTCTCTTTTCGTTCTAGAACCGGTTCCCTTCTTTTGCAATAGCTACGGTGCTATCACAATGAATCAACTACCGGAGGGATCAGTATTTCCCATAAGGGAATCTTTAGTAATGGACCTCTCAATCAACTTTCCTCTATACTAGCCATTGCTAGTTTCATCATTTCTAATTCCTTAGTTGATTTGAGCAAGGATCGTTTACTACTTAGAATTCCAAGACAAAACTCTTCCAATGATGTTTAAAATATGACCACTGGATGCCTTGGAGTCTTCTATAAGGTATTCTCGTCTGCATCAATATACCTACCAATACAGTACGAAACCGTTGATAACTTATATCAAGGTCTACTGTTCTCTTAAGGTGTCTCATTACCCCTTTCAATAGCATTTCAATGCTTCATACTAGGACAATCAGTAAGCCTGTCAAGTACCCCCACTAAATCGGGTCTCATGTTTATCAGCTGCCTCACGCAGACTGTCGATGCTAGTATATTCTAAGTTTCTCAATTTCTCACACCGTTTCGAGTGTTCTCTTATATTTACACTAGCATCATCAACCATTTATGCAGGCATACGCTTATATTTCTTCTAGATCTTAACTTTGTAGTTAAATTGATCTAGAGGAAATCTATTTCATTGTCATAGTTACCTGGATCTCCTAGCTTACACAAGCTTCATCCAGATCATTCAAAAGTATCAAATATGATTTTTCACATCATTGATATCATGAGTCTTTGTACCAAAGATCAACATGTTATTCATAGTGCACGTGTCATTCTCAAACTTGTACCAAATGCACTTGTCATTTTCATTAAAACCTTGAGAGAGAATCAGTTTATTCATGCCATCATCTTAGAGTCTATTTCAAATCTTACAATGATTTGTCTAACTATAGACTCCATAAGCATGTTCAGGAATAACAACCCTATAGTTTGTCCCATGTAGATTTCTCTATCTAAATCACCATTCACAAAATTAAGTTTAACATCCATCTGATGCACAACAAGAGCAATCAGAACATACATGAATGTTATTCTACATATGGTGAATAGATAACAAGAAAATTTACAATTTTTCCTTTCCTCCTAAAGCCTTAGCTATTAGGCGATCCTTATACTCATAAACTAAACCAATAGGTTTCTTTTAAGAATCCATTTATTACCCATGACTTCATTGCCAAGAGGTAATTCTCAAAGATGCCAAATCTTGTTTGATTCTATCGATAAATTACCCAAGGCTTTATAGCCAAGAGGTAACTCTACAAGATTTTAAGTCTTATTAGACTCCAATAATTCCATTTCGTTAATAATGGATTTACCCACAAATCTGCATCTTTATGGAAGTTCGAACTTCTAGCAGACTTTTAGGATCTTTCTTTCTTAAGGTGTAAATAACAAATTCATAACCAAAATCTTTTCGTGATTTATGGTTCATTTGTCTCTTCTGAGTTCATACCCAGATTCATCACCACCACTAGTTATCCATTATTTCTAATAGCAGGCAAGATATCACCCCCACTATTTCTCAATTTAAATGGAATGACCTTAATGGATTCTATACAAAAATGAGTATTTCATTTCATAAGCTTATGTGTTCTATTATTGATAGCACAATCAATAAAACACTTTCATGCTCATCCTATATTGCACGGACTCTCAAACTATACCATATGAAAAAAAGCATTTCATAAATAACATTTTACGTTAAAAGCATGTCGAAAGCATCACATCATTAATTAGTGCAATCAATAATAATGTGATAAAGCATTTCACATTATACTCATTTACCCATTTCAAAATGAATCAAATCCAAAGATTCTGATTCTCTAATCACATATATAAGAGTCATTTCACTTTATCATCATATGCATACTCTCATGACCATTAGCAATAGTGGAGTGAGTAATACTCAACAATACTTTCTTAATAGCATATGCCTTGTATGCTTCGAGGTACCAAAATTCAGCCACCATTCTTCAGAGTTACCTAGCAAGGTTAATCTCTGTTCTTTTAACAATTATCACAACTACCAATCCTCCTCTTTAATCAAGTTAACACTCAACCAATGTTATCCTTGTTCCTACACTTTCGTGTCATTTGACCTAATTTCTTGCAACTATAGCAGCGTCATTCTTAGAGGATTGGTTGATGATTATTTTGGTTACCATTAGAGATACCACTCTTAATATAGTTGAATGTCGTTTGTGATGGTTGCCAAGATTACTTTGTTTTTTTCCATAGGTCGGTGTCAAATAACCATTGTGATTTTTCGTTTTGTGACCTATGACATGCCCCAAAAATTTTGGTGAAAAAGAAGTTGTAAGCTTACCTGGTTTTGTACTTGGTTTGCTTGGGGACAAGCAAACGTTCAAGTGTGGGTATGTGATTCGGGTCCAACTATACACATTTTACCCCTCATTTCTTGTTCATTTTGCTTAGTAGATCACCGTCCCTCGACCTATTTACGCTAGGTTGT